TGGCCAGGACAAACGGTCACCTCCAGGGAAGCTCTTGGTCCCTGGACGACATTAAGCTGCTCATGTGTGTGTGGACCAAGAGACAGCATCGATACGTTCCGCGATCACTCAGCACTACCTTTGTTGACGACAGCAACTCCACTACTCACACCGCGCCTGAGTTGCAGAAATCTCTTGATGAAACCGCCAAGTTTGATCGATTTTCAGGTCAACGCATTCACCCTGGCAAAGTGGCGGGGTGGGCGCTCACCGACGAGCTTCACACCGCCGTTACCCAGCTCACTCTGGCGGAACGGCCCTTACGCGTGGTCGACTCCTTCAAGCTCGTCGGGAGTTACATCAACGCCGAGGCAGCGCCGGCTCCAGCCGCGCTTAACCTCACGGCCACCGCTGACGCCCGTGTTCGCAGGGCGACTAGTCGCCTGCCGCGCATTGGCAAGCTCCCATCACCGATGCTTATTAAGGCGCGGCACGCCCGTTCCCTTGCTGCCAGCGTCTGTACCACGGGCACCGACATTCAAGCCCCATCAGGCCCCGTCAAAACTGCCTACAACCATGCCCTTAAGGCGGCTATCCGCCCCAAGGGAAACAGGTGGGTCGAGTTTTGGACTCTCATGGCCGTGTGCGTCCCAGGACACGCCCTGGAGATTGACGCCATTATGCAGCGTGAAGTCTTCCTGTGTCTGCGGCGACAGGTTAACCGCGACGCTACTCTCTGCGGTCTCGTCAGGGATCTCCAACACCATGTCCAGACCCTTTTCGGGGGAGGACCTGTCGGACGACTTGTCCAGACGCTTCAGCAGCTCCGTTGGACCTGGCCCACATTTGGCATCATGTACGACGACTGGGGCTGTCAGATCAGTTGGCTGAACTTACCCCAAAACGCCTTCCTTCACATGCTGCGAGCCTCACAACGCAGAGCCTTTCTGAGAAAAATCAAGCCACGGCGTCATGACCTTGGACACCTGGCCTCTGTCAGACAGGGCCTCGACCTCTTCGCCAGCACGTGGCTCGCCCGAACGAAAGGAGCAGCCAAATGCAACGCATGGCAGCTGGCGCTCCTCCTAAACTACCTGTCGGGCGGGGACCACACCCAACAGCGACGATCCCGATCAAACACGTCCGCTGACCCCAGCCCCATCTGCCGATACTGCGACGAGGAAGAGGAAACTCAGGAGCACACTGTTCGCGACTGCAAGTGCTGGGCCCGAGAAAGAGTCCCTCTCACCACCCTCATCAGTGACGAGCAGTGGGCCCGTCTTCCGCCGCACACAAGACACTGCGGGCTCTTCGATGAAGACCCAGCCCTCCTCGACCTGCAGGCCGACCTCGCGAGGGACCCGCTACCTCAGCCCATACCGCGGCCCCCACCTGAGGGAGATCCTGCGGCTTCAGCCCAGGACTCCTACACCACCTACCTTGACCACGACACTGGTTGGACATGGGTCTACGCTGCCACGGACGGTGCATGCACCAACCAAGCCATCCCATTGCTAGCACGAGCGGGCTACGGCGTCTACTACGGCATCGACCACCGCATGAACTACAGTGCACGCGTTCACGGCATTACGCAGAACGCACAGCTTGCGGAGACCCTCGCCATTGTCCACCTCACGGCATGTGCTGAACGGCCCGTACACGTTTTCGTGGACAACCAGGCGGTGGTTGATGGTTTCCAAAGGATCATCGACGGACACTCACCACCGCAGGGCACGCACGTGGAGCTCTGGGAAAAGATCCACCGATGCGTCATGGCCAAGCCCAACATGTTCCGCGTCGAGAAAGTCGCTAGCCACCAGGGCGACATGGGCATCGACCTCGGGCTCATCGGGCCCATCGCGGAGGAGTTCAATCGTCAGGCTGACGCCCTCGCCACAACGGCGGCACGTACTCATAACCTTCCAGACGACATTGTCGAAGCTGCCAAATCACGACATCGCCAAGCGACCGTGCTTCATGGAGTCGCTGTCGCCATCTACGAGCGTAGACACCGTACACTCCCCCTCCCACACCGCAGGGCTGGGTTCACAGCTGCGGAACTCAACAAAATGGAACCAAATCCCCTGCTGTCTGACCAGGCACCACCCGCGGCTGGACCAGACATCCCACAGAACCCGGACGAGCTCTGGGCCGAGGCCCAACGGGCGATATTCGACGAACAGGAGGACGACCCGTTCGGCTTTGGTGGGGGCCTGGACTTCCTGGGCGACGGGCCAGCCAGCGCCAACCCTGCCCCGTCGGGCACCCGCACGGCGCCCCCGACTCCGCCATTGAGAGCGGCAGCGCACCCACATGACAACGCCGCTCATTTTCAAGACGCTGACGAACAGGAGGATGACCTGTTCAGCTTCGGTGGGGGATTGGACGCTTTGGACGACGGACCAGCCAGCGAAAACCCCGCCCCGTCGGGCGATCCCGCGACTCCGTCCCGAGAGCGACATCGCCCACATACGATGATATCCGACCACCTGGGTGGACTGAGCATGAACGCCATCCATAGACGACCTGCCGCATCGCCCCCAACTCGAGACGCGACATCGCTACCATGAGACCCCCGCGGACTGAGTGGCACGCACCGCTGATACCACACGCTGCCGACCATGCCGCCCTACCGAGACGCCAACCTTCTACGCGACCGACCTCAGAGCCCTTGCACGGCATCATGACTGGTCCCACCGCGCAAACCACTCCGCCCCCCCACCGCCGGCAGCCCGCGGGGGCGGCTTCAGCCCCCCCGCAGGGTACTAAACCAGACAGGCCCTCGTGCCCCATCCACGCTTCCATCGTTGCTGAGCGAGAGGAAGCGGCTCTCCCGACCTCTCGGGGCGTGGCCCTAGCGGCTCCAGCCCTGGGGTCGCGTGGGCCCCTCCAGTCACCCTTCAAGGGTGACGGACGACAGCGTACAGGGTGCCGCACTACGCTAGTCCACCATTTGGACAGGCGTACCGAGGACCTCGCCTCTGTCTCGAGGCCCTCGGCTGCTGGCACTGAGCAGCCACCCCTCACCGACCGCGAAACCGAGCTGTCACAGGCTATGGCTGCTCTCCAGCAGAGGTGCTTAGCTCTCGCCGCGGACCTCGCCGCCGCCCAAGCTCGTCAAGGCCCTCTACTCCAGCGCCTCCACAGCGCTGGGCGAGCCTTTGCCGAGCTGCTCACGGCCTCGCCCGATGGTGCCGTGCCGTCACTCACCATCCAAGCTATGCTGTCATCGTTCCGCGGCGCTCCACCTGGTGCCCCGCGCTAATCTCCTCCTTTCTGCCTGCCCGTGTGTACGCGTGGCTCCGCGTCCACGGTGTCAGGGCGTGGGGGCGGGGGGTGCCCCGTCACTGCGCGCCGCTTAGCGGCCAAGCGCCCAACTGGCGGTCTGCCAAGCCGCCTAGCCACGTGTCAGCACGTCGCCTTTCTTGTTGGGGCCTATTTCCTCACGCGGTCTGACAGGTGAGATCATCATCGTCTGTCCGCCGTCTGTAGCGTCTGTCGCACTGCGCCGGGGGAGGGGTTTTTTTGTTGCCCGCCCTCGTATCTAAAGGCTGCACCGCCGCAAATAGTGCATGCGAGTTGTCGCACCGCAGTGCGCCTCGCGGACGGACCCTGGTCCGCCTACTTGTCCGATCTCTCTCTCTCTCTCTCTCTCTCTCTCTCTCTCTCCTCTCTCTCCTCTCTCTCTCTCTCTCTCTCTCTCTCTCTTTCTCCTCTCTCTCTCTCTCTCTCTCTCTCTCGATGATGATGATGGTGATGAGATGATGATTATGATGGTGTCCCGATGAAGATGGTGATGATGTTGATGATGGTGTCGATGATGATGCTAGTGTCCCGATGTTGAGGATGATGATGCTCATGCTGATTTTGTTGATGATGATGACGAGGATGGTGTCTCGATGGTGATGATGATGACGACGATGATTCCGATGCTGTTGAGGATGATGATGGTGATGGAAATGGTGTCCCAGCGATGATGATGTTGATGATGATGACGTTGATGATGATTATGGTGTCCCGATGATGATGCTGATGATGACGATGGTGATTATGATGATGCTGATGTTGATGGTGCCCCGATGTTGATAATAATGATAATGACGATATTGATGATGCTGTTGCTCATGATGATGATGGTGCCGCAATGATGATGATGTTGATGATGATGATGTCGATGACGTTGATGCGATGATCATGATGATGATGATGGTGTCCCGAGGATGATGACGATTATGGTGGTAATGTTGATGATGAGAACGATGGTGATCATGATTGTGTCCCGATTATGATTATGATTCTGATGATGCTGCTGATGATGATGACGATGACTGTTTCCCGATGATGATGATGATGATGGTGATGATGATGATGTTGGTGGTGAGATGATGATGGTGATGATGCTGATGATGATGTTGTCCCGATGGTGATGCTGACGTTGATGCCTATGTTTATTGATGATGATGATGACGGTGCCCTCATGACGATGACGATGTTGGTGATGATGTTGATGTTGATTATATTGATGATGATGATGATGATGATGCTGGTGATAATTCTAACGTTGATTGTGAGAGCGATTGTGATACCGATAGTGAGATCGATATTCAGACCGAATGCGAGATCGATTGTGTGATCGATTGTGAGATCGATTGTGAGATCAATTGTGAGAACGACCGAATGAGATAGATCGAGTGAGATCGATTGTGAGATCGACCGGGTGAGATCGACCGAGCGAGACCGATAGTGAGATCGATACTGAGATCGATAGCGCGACCGATCGAGTGAGACGTTGTTTCCCCCCCCCCCCGGACCTCCTTGTCACCCGAAGGGTGGTCGTATAGGTGCAGAGGAGCGATGGACAGACTGACCGTTGCACTGGCGACATGCCCGTACCTTTGCACTATCATGTTAACTCAACGCCATCTCTCATAAGGCTGGTGGCACTGCATTCCTGGTTCCAATGGACGATAGAGACCAAGAGGACCGAGATGTCCGAATTCAACATCAAAATTTAGCTCCAGGCAGGGTTGCCCTCCTCACCATCACAAGTGATAAGGACAACTTCACCATGGATCTCATGAACGCTCACAACTCCGAGCTGGATGACCAAGCGCAGGACAATATATTGGCAAAATGGATGGAACTTGCCGTTTGGAGCCTGCAAGACCCCTCTACGGGAGCATTTCTAGCTGCTGGTGGCTTCAATGCCATGTCAGGCGCGGCCCGCAGCTACGTGGACCCCATCGCGGAAGGCTCCATCCTTGGCTCTGTTCCTGCAGACCTGAGTCGTGGATCGCAGCCTTTGCAAGCATACTGGGAACGCCTTTTCTTTATGCTCACTGAAGTCTCGACTGATTGCCCCACGCACTATTGCAGAGACACGGCCACCGCAGCCACATTGGATCGCATCTTTATCGGTACTCCAGTTCGCTGCCCCCTAGATGTCGAAGTCTTGGCGGGGTTTGACATTGACGCGGCCGCAATCTCTGACCTCAGACTCAGTGACCACGCGCCGATCGTTCTTCACCTTCGCGACCGCGCTCGGCATGACCAACAGACCACCTTTCCTGCGCATGTCTCTCGTGACCCTCGTTGCGGAGAGATCTTGGGGCAGCTTATCGGTCCGGCTCAACTTGATCGGTTTCCAGTTGTGTACCTGTGGCGAGGCTGCTCGCCAGGTTCGCGGCGAACTTCAATGTCTTCCGATCTCGGCCAAAGACCCCCGTGCCGAGGGAGGGCGCATATTCGCGCTGAGGGCAATGGCAAGATGTATCTGGCGAAACGACATCCACGCGGCTCAGAAGCTGAAGGCCACCGCCGCCGACGGCGCGCGCTTCTTCCACGTGTCTAACGGCGACGTAGGGCTCCTCGACAGGCAGGAGTTCGCCCTCATCGCAAACGCCGCCAACTACGAGTTCGGACAGATGGATGCCAGACTTGCTGAACACAGGGCGTCCAAAGAGGAGGGGGCGGTGGTCGAGGGCGAGAGGCGGGCGAGCTGAAAGGGCGCACAAGAGGCGCGCTACTCTTTGGGCCCCCAAAGCTCATCGTCTCGTTCTTGCCAGGGTCAGACTTGGAAGCCTTCAAGAGTCGCCGGCTGTCGCCGGGGATCCTGATCAGATTGCGTTCGCCCTGGCCTCTCATTGTAGACCCATCTTCGGCGCCGAAGCAGTCCAGGAGAAGGCCCTTCAGGAGTGCCTCCACAAAGTTGCCCCTCAGCAAGATCGCTTACCTCTTAGACTTCCGACTGAGCCCGAACTCGGACACGCCCTCAAATTTGTTCGGCGATCAGCCCCTGGCCCTGATCAACTTCCGCACGCAGCGTGGATTGCTCGTCCCGAACAACTCACAGTCTTACGTAAACTTATGACATGTCTTCACGGCGGACATGCAGTGCCCCTGGAGCTCAATGATAGCCCCTTTGCTTTCCCCCCCAAAGGTTCGGGGCCCGAATATGCCCTGGGGTGCGCGAGGTCCGCAGGGAAGGTTCGGCCACTTAGCCTCAGGAATACGGACACTACGATCACGGCATCCGCCACCCCATTCCAGATCCGACAGGTTGCCCGAGAACGTGCCCATCAGGCTCAACAAGGATTCATCCCAGGACGTAACATCTTGTCCAACATCATCGCGTTGGACGCCGAAGCCCGCAAGGCCAGCATCACCCCCGAAGCTGAGGGTTCCCGATCTTCGCTGCCTACGACGTGGTGGCGGCGTTCCCGTCTCTGGGCCACCAGTGGTTGTTCGAGATTATGAGCAGGATTGGGCTCCCACCAGGTTTCTTACCCAGAGTCTGTGCGATGATTCAGAACCGAACCGTTTTCCTGTTTCATCTCTGCTCGGGGGTCCTGCAGGGGCGCCCGTTGTTTGGCTCTCTCTGGGCTCTTGCAATGGGCCCCATCCTGAGATGCCTGCACGCGGCCACGCAGCTCCCGCAGGCGAGGCACCACAAGGGCTCTCTTGGGGATTGTGCTGACGATGTCGGAATGGTGATGCCTCGCCTGCGTGACCTGGTTGGTGTTTATATTTTTTTCTGGATGTTGAGCGTTTTGCCATTCTCAAGCTCCATGTGCACTGGCCCCACTGTGGGCCGAGTGCACGGAAGCTGTCCAGACCAGGGTCCGAAACGAGCTTTGTAGGTGGATCCCGCAGTAGGCCGACTTTAAGAGTGCTGGCCATACAGTCTACCAAGGGGTCGAGATGGGCCCTGCAGACACACTTGCCATGATCTGGGCTAACGCGGCTGAGAAGTGGTGGTCGAGGACGATTGCTCTGCCATGCCCGGCCTGGACAGCCTGGCCCTTCGTCTCTTTCACATCTGTACAACGCCGCCGCTCTCTCGACCCTCTCGTACCTCACCCAGCGGTTTCCCATCCCTGCCGTGATTCGCAAACTTGAACATCAGGCTTTGCACAAGCTGCTCAGGCTGCCGCCGGACAGCCTCAGTCTTGCTGATCCGATCGCTCTCCCACCTGTGCTCGCCAATGCCCCGTCATCTGTCTCTGTGCTTGGATGCGCTAGCAGCTGGTTCACCTCTTCTCGTACCATGAATCACGCGAGGCAGAATGCACTGCGCAGCTTGAAAGAATATGCCCAGGACAAAGCTACGAACGATCGTGCACCTCATTGCAGACAAAATGTTCAGCACCCTGCTGGAAGCGCCCTTTCTCAATCGGGCAACGCATGGAGCAGGCCAGGCCCCCCCCCTTCTTCCTTGACAAGCCTGGTTGGCACGCAGCGTTTCGCGCAGCGCGTGAACATGCCAAACTAGCCATCCAGGAGGCCCGTCGCCCGCACTCACAACGCATTTTTGCACGCACGCTTTGAGCTGCCGCTTTTCCTGGTTTTTCTCCCGGGACGTTGGGCAAAAGGCTGCTCGCGTGGCAGGTCCCGGTTCCTGGGGGGCGGAGGTCGGTGGCTGGTCGGTGGGGACTGTCGGGCCCTTATCGCGAGTCTCAAGCCTTCCTGGCGATGGAGTATTATCAAGACCCTCTGTGGGGCGTGGGCGACCACGCATAGGCTGCACATAGGCAATGCCCCCACGAGCTGCATTTGGGACAGCGCTGAGCCTGGCGAGATTGCACACTACCTGCGTTGCCGAGAATGTACCACCATCTTGCAATGAACCCTGCATGGAGAAGGCGCCACTTTTCAGGTTGCCGATTGCATGGTTGGGACTGGGGGCGGCGTCTGACTACGAGCGGGCGGGATCGGAACTCACGCGCGAGGAGTGCCTTAAGGCAGTTGCACTGGCTTTTTCATATGTACCACAAAGCGAAAGACTTCGCTCAGAAGACTCCCGTGTCTCTGGAGCGCGCATGCGAAGTCCGAGGTGCAGCAGAGCTCGCACTTGAGCGGTGAGATGCCCTCATGGACACTGTGCTCTGTCCTTCGGTCTATTCCATGGGTGGTGGATTGGCTAGGTTGTGGAACGGGGGATGGGGTTGGGGGGTCGTTCGGTGACCCAGTGGCGGAGGCATCTTGCTGTGATGAGTATCCCGCAGCGCCCTTTTTTTGTACTACATATGTTTCTCCTTTTTGCCCTCGCTTGCGAGGCTTATCTTTAGCTCTGGTCTGCCTCGAACGCAATATTTTTGTGGGCCGTGCTGGTGGCGGAAGTGGCAAAGGGTTTCGCTGCCCGTCGGGAGGCCGAAAAAGAACCCGAGCGCCACCCAGCTGGGGCCCACTCTCCCTCCGTCGATGCATCTGCGTCGACCGAGGTTGAGGCCGGTGGTCGGACAGACCTTCAAGGTTACGTCGTCTCCCCTTCCTGATCCTGCTTCTCCCCATCCTTCCCGTGATCCTCCTGCACCTCCTGGTGCTGCTGCTGCTGCTGCTCCTCCTCCTCCTGCTGCTCATCATCCTGCTCCTCCTCTCCCCCCCTGCCCTCCCCCATCGCCTCCACTCCTCCTTCTTCTCCCCCTCCTGCTCTTGCTCCTCCTCCTGCTTCTGGAGCACCCCCTTTGATGCTGCTCCTCCCCACCTGCCCCTCCTCCTCCTGGACGCGAGGTCCTGGGGCCGCACTCGCGGGGCCGAGGTAGGGTCTAGGTATCGTGGAGAATTCCACGGGCCGAAGATGAGTCTACAGGCGTCAACGCGGGTCCCCGGAGCCACGGGTCCAAAGCCCAGGGTCCAGAATCCAATAAGGGCGGACGAGATGGAGGGGAACGAGGAGGAGGAGGAGGAGGAGGAGGAGGAGGAGGAGGAGGAGTAGGAGGAAGAGGCCAGGGAGGAGACGAAGGCGAAAAGGACGAGGGCGAGCACGAAAAATGAAGGCGAGGCGGAGGCCGACAACGATGACGAGCAGGGAGGGAGTCCGGGCAATTCTCTGTTGGGCCTCGGGTTCCGTTCCCCACTCCATGGGCTGGATTTGCCGCTCCGGTTCGGTTTGTATTGGTCTGATTCGGCCCCATTCGGTCCACGAGCGATCTTGGTTCGGTTCGGTCCGGGTCTTTACCGCGGCCATTCCGGTTCGGTTCGATTCGTCTTGGAGGGGACGCTGGTTCGCGGCCGTTCGATTCAGCCTGGTCCAGTCCAGGCAGTTCTGGAACCTTCCTGCAATGAAACACTGCGACGGACTTACGCCAGGAAGGAAGCAGCGCAATACGAGATTTTCAAGGCTCCAGGAGGGTCGGCCGTCAGGACCCTCTGGCATGAGATCCGTTGTCGATGGCAGTGCTTGCCGTTGCATCCTTTGGCGCCATGATGCCGTGACTAGAACCTTATCGCGCGCGTAGCGCGCGCGTGGTTCCAGCATGTATGTATACCAGTATCTATAATCATATGTGTGTAACCATGTATACACGTACATGTATACATGTATATATGAATATACATGCATGTATCTATGTGAATATATACTAATGTATGTATGCGTGTACGTAAGGTAAGTAAGGTGAGTAAGGCATGTATGTATGCCTGTCTGTCTGTCTGTCTGTCTGTATGTATGTATGTAAGCATGTATGAATGTATGTAGTTATGTATGTATGTTTGCATGTGTGTATGTTTGTACGTATGTGTGTACTTCTGTATGTCTACATATATATACATATATGTGTGTGTGCATATCACCCTATATCTTTGTATATACACATATGTGTATATATGTATACATACATATATATATCTATATATGTATGTATGTATGTATGTATGTATGTATGTATGTATGTATGTATGTATGTATGTGTGTATGTATGTATGTATGTATGTATGTACGTATGTATGTATGTATGTATATATATGTATGTATGTATGTATGTATGTATGTATGTATGTATGTATGTATGTATGTATGTAGGTATGTAGGTATGTAGGTATGTAGGTATGTAGGTATGTAGGTATGTAGGTATGTAGGTAAGTATGTATGTATGTATGTATGTATGTATGTATGTATGTATGTATGTATGTATGTATGTATGTATGTATGTATGTGTATATAAATGTATATATGTATATGTATATATGTATGTATATATACATATATGTATCCCAGGGGAGCAGGCCCGGGGCCCGAAAACAGCTGCCTCGACCCTCCATGGGGGTACCGGGGCTCATTTTCCCTATGTTTTTACCGGGTTTCCGCGTCCTGGGCCTCGGAGGCAGCCGCCTCCGACCCCCCATGGGAGGACGGGGCGGCCGGGGAGGTCCGAACTGGTCCAGGAGGGCCTCCAGAGGCTCCCAAGACGGCCCAAGCGGGCCCCGAGTCGCCGAAAGACCGCTCCAGGACGCCCAAGATATGCCCAAGACGGCCCGAGAGGCCCCCCAAGGCACTCCACGACGCTTCAAGACGCCACTCCAGAGCGCTTCCAGAGGCCGACATCGCAAATGTTACGAAGGTTTTCGAACGATTTTGGCCTTCCAGCCGTTTCGGCTGTCCGACGTTCCAAGACGGCTCAATAGGCTCCCCAAAGCGCCCCAAGACGGCCCAAGAGGGCCCCGAGACAGCCCCAGAGTCGCCCCGAGACAGCCCAACAGAGCCCCAAGACGGCCCCAAGATGCGCCCAAGAGGGGGACCACGACTCCAAAATTCGACCCTCCCGCTTGAAGAGTGTCCCAGGAGGCCCCAAGGAGCCCCAAACAGGCCCCAGGAGGCCCCCAAGAGGCACCCAGGAGGCCCAAACGAGGCGTAAAAAAGCCACAAAACATCTCCGAGGAGGCCCCACAGCAGCCCCAAAACGGCGACCGAGAAGCTGTGAAACTGCCTTCACGACGTCCCCGACAGGCCAACCACGAGATCCAAACCGACACCCATGAGGCCTCTGAGCCTTCCGGAACACGCTGCAGGAGGAGGAAGATCAGGAGGAGAGAGAGCTGGAGTGGGAGG